CCTAATTTTGGATCCTCTTGACTTTTTGTTTGATTGTTTTAGTCATCTTTGGGTGAGCTAAAAATTAATGTACAAAGAGCTCATATATTATATTTACTGGGGTATGGATTGTGGGGTTGCTGGAGAAGGTCTGAGTTTCTTTTGTGTTTCCTTCTTTTACATAAAGGAAGTTTTGTCTTCATCTTTTGCCATAAAATGTATCAGCAATGTTATCTTCATTGGTTGCCATTTTAGACTTTAGGGGTGGAAAGAATAAATCTTTTACTTTTGCAGCCTAAGAATTTGTATCTGCTAAGTGGCAAATTAAAGGATAGGACTTTGATTTGACTCCTTGTTCAGTGCTCTTTCTACCATATTATACTTTCATTTAAATGAAATAGAAGTATTTTCACCTAAATGGAAAACACAGTTTGATGATTTTGGTTATCAACATGATAATGTTGATACAGAATTTTATCACATATATTTTACTTTTTTGAACAGGTAATACATACACAGAGTACTAAAGGTGTATATACAAGTAAGTCTCCCTTAGCCCCACCCCTAGCCATAGCAGGCCACAACTGCTCAGTGGATATGTTCCATATATTCCTCTGTTGGTTTGCTCAAGTGGCAGTGTAATATGTCAACTTTTACATACTTTGCTTTTTCCGCTTATAAATGTGGGTTAGGGCCGGGCACAGTGGCTCATGCCTGTAATCCCAGCACTTTGGGAGGCCAAGGCGGGTAGATCACCTGAGGTCAGGAGTTCGAGACCAGCCTGATCAACATGGAGAAGCCCCGTCTCTACTAAAAATACAAAACAATTAGCCAGACGTGGTGGTGCATGCCTGTAATCCCAGCTACTTGGGAGGCTGAGGCAGGAAAATCACTTGAACCTGGGAGGCGGAGGTTGCAGTGAGCCGAGACTGCGCCATTACACTCCAGCCTGGGCAACAAAAGTGAAACTTCGTGTCAAAAAAAAAAAAAAAAAAAAGTGAACTAGACGCGGTGGCTCATGCCTGTAATCTCAGCACTTTGGGAGGCTGAGGTGAAAGAATAACGTGAGGCTAGAAGTTTGAGACCAGCCTGGTCAACATAGTGAGACCCCATCTCTAAAATAATAATAATAATAATAATAATAATAATAATAATAATAATAATAAAAGCCAGTTGTGGTGGTGTACACCTGTAGTCCCAGCTACTTGGGAGGTTGAAGCAGGAGGATTGTGGAGCCCAAGAGTTCAAGATTACAGTGAGCTATGATTGTCTCTAAAAAACTATAAATGAATAAAACAAAATACATAAATAACATTTTTTAAAAGTGAAAAGTAATATATTGTAAATTATATGTATTTGCTTCTCAGAGCTCCATGACTATTTCTTTTTTCTCTCAGCTCTCATGAATTAATTGATTTTTTTTTAAGACAGAGTCTTGCTCTGCTGCCCAGGCTGTAGTGCAGTGGCAAGAACACAACTCCCTGCAGCCTTGATCTCCCTAGCTCAAGCTATCGTTCCTTCTTAGCCACCCAGGTATCTGGGACTACAGGCAGGCACCACCATGCCTGACTGATTTTTACATTTTTGTAGAGATGTTGCTCAGGCTGGTCTCAAACTCCTGGTCTCAAGTGATCTTCCTGCCTCGGCCTCCCAAAGTATTGGGATTATTTATAGGCATGAGCCATGCTGCCTGGCTAGTTAACTAATTTATTAGCTCACTGTCTTAGCCCGTGTGTGCTGCTATGACAAAACGCCACAAATTGGATAACTTATAAACAATAGAAATTTATTTCTTAAATTTCTGAATGCTGGAAAGTCCAGATCAAGGTGGTGGCAGGTTCATTGACAGTGTGGGCTGCTGTTTCTGCTTCCAAGATGGTACTTTGTTGCTGCACCTTCTGAAGGAGATGGATGCTGTGTTCTCATGGTAGAAGGGATGGAAAGGTTTAATGCTGTGTGAAGCCTTGATTATAAAGTCCATCCCATTCATGAGGAAGTAGCCCTCAGGACCCAATCACCTTCTAAAGGTCCTACTTCATCACACTGTTTCATTGGGGACTATGTTTCAACATGAATTTTGGGGGACACAAATATTCAAACCATAGCATGCATTAACAAGTGCTTATTGAACACTATGAGTCACTATTCTAGGACATGGGAACGGAGGAGTGAACAAGATGGAAGAAAACCATCTTTTTGGCAGGTGATTGTGATAGGGGTAAAAATAAGGTCTCTGATAGCCCAGAGGAGGGAGAAATGAGTTTCTTCAGATATAATCAGAGAAAGCTTTCAGGAAAAAGTGGTATTTTATGTGGAGTTTAAGTGTGGTAGAAGCTTAACGGAAGAATAGGGAAGAAATGATACTCTAGCACAAATGTACTGGAGTTATTTTGGTTTTGTTTCACTTTTGTCTATCTGTTGGTGCTTGGCAGTTCTATGTTCAGTGTTAACATTTGCTTGAAATTTTGGAAAATTGATTCCTTTTGTAAATAAATTGTTTCTTTAAATTAAAAATCATTTTGTGCTCGCCTTCGAATTTTTTTTCTCAGTTTGTTTTTTTGAACTAGATAGGAAAACAGGATTTTTCTAGGTAATTTTTACCTATTTGGTCTTTTAAAAAAAGTTATGAGTTTTCTTTTACTTTTTTTCTTATAATTTCTTGTGTTGTTATAATTAGCTATTATTTGTTTCACTGTCATCGCGTGCTTGCAGTAGAGGTTTTCAGCCTTGGCTGCACTGGAATCACGTGAAGAGCTTTAAAAATGCTGATGGGTGGGCCCCACTGGGTTCTGGGGTGTGGCCTGCGCAGCAGGATTTTCAAAAGCTCCTCACTCAGGCAATTCTGCTTTGCAGCCAAGGTTGAGAAGCCATTGGCTTAAAGCATTTCAGAAGTAACTGAAACATGTTTTCTGCTTTTGGAAAGTAGGTAACTATGGTTTCAACTGAGTGGTTGGATAAATCTGTCATCTCACGTGTCTTGCTTAGAATAAAGCTGATTAGAATTGCCATGGTTGAATGAAGTCCTTGAGTTTGTTAAAGCACTTTGACTAAAGCGTAAATGGAATTAAGTAAAGCACATACATGGATAGTATAATTTTAAGAACTTCAGATTCCTGTATGCCTTGGGGAAGGGATAAAAGTTCTTGTTTTGAACTCTGTACAAGTCAGTCATTTGGCTTATTATTTAAGTCAAAAACTAACAAATTTGTTTTTAGAATCTAGTATAGTTAGGCAAACATTGTTTTCAAAGTCTTGTTGACTTTGTCACCTACTTTCAATGTAATAAGTATTCTGTTACTGTAAAGGGGATCTTTGTTTACTCCAGTAACAAGATGTTGGACAAAAAACTTGTAAACTCAAATAGTTACTTCCCTGAGGTTTCAAAGAGCCTCCAGAAAGAAACGGAACTAAGCTACACTACTCCTTTCTTTTATTCTGAGAAGTGATCTAGTCTGTTTCCAGCTTGATATTGGGAGCTGATATCAGTTTAGAGATGTTTTACTGTGAATTCAGTGTTTGAAGTATTGCAGATTCCCAGAATATAGCCGTATCTTGTGGCATGTACTGCAGTAGGGTTGCAAACTTCTCATATGTCTATATATTATGTTAGCATGGGGTCTGAAAATAGGGGAGCTTACTGAATAGAATAATTAGAATTGGATTTATAGTCTAAGTTTTCTATTTCTAAGCTGTGTTACCTTGATTTATTTAACTTATTTAGCCTTAGTTTCTATATCTGGAAAATAGGGAGAAATGATACCTAAAGTTTGTTAATGAGATAAAATATTTAAAAGGCTTAATAGAGTGTCTACCTACAGTTGGTCTGTAATATATAAAAGTTCCCCAGTTTTGATATTGAATTATACTAGAGAATCATTTTAGTAAAAATGATACCTGAGAACAAATAAAACCCTAAATTTTCTTTAATATGGAAACATTAATAATAATGAATATTTGGGGTGATATAGGAGTCACATTTTATGTAGCTGAATGTTGGATGTTTCTGAATTTCTGATAAACCTGAACATCTAATAAAGGTGTTGATATTATACCTTTGCTTATCATAATTAGTTTTGTCATTTTTCATTGTGTTTATAGATATTTTACAAGAACTGAAGGATTCTTACAATAGGAAGGAGAAATTGGAAAGTTGATAGTACAGACTAAGCAATATAGTGTTGTTAGGGCATAAATGCCTACATTCATATGTTTACAATGAAAATACAAGCAAAGTGTACTGTCGGCCATGTTGAGATGTAGCCAGATCAAATTAGTTCATTCATTATTGCATTCCTCTGTGTGCCTGAATAAAATCATCACAATAATGACCCCGCCCATTTTCTGTCCTTCAAAACTGTTCTCATTTTTTAAGGCACAATTCAAGATGTGGTTTACTTTATTAAGTTATCCCCCATACTCCCTTGTAAAGGAATCACTTCTCTGCATTCTGTCAACATGTGACCTCTACCCTGCCTGGCACTTTTCACTGTCTCATATTAAAAGCAGTGCTTCAGGCATTGGGTTGAAGGTTGTTTGGGTTTCTAAATAAGAAACTCTGACATTGACATTAGAAGGATCTTCATTTTAATCTCTGTGTTGAAATTTTCTTTGTAAAGATACACAAAATAATTTGTCCTTTCAAAGCTCAACTTAAAAGCTTCTACCTTACAGGTTTTTTGAAAGATTAAATGGTATAATATAAATGCCTAAGATAGTAAGTGTTCAATAAATAGTAGTGAATATTGTTATTGCTGTTATTGTTTGTGTGTAGTATATTATTTATTGAATATACATGTGACACGTGACTTAATAAAACTTCCCCTAGACTATGCATTCTTTGAGGATAGGAAACCATCACTTGGCATTTTGCATAAGATTTAATAAACTGATTCACAATTATTTGTTGATTGAACACATTAACTTTCACCTTACTTGACTTTTAAAAAGAATAGTCTTGGCATATATGAAAAAAATTTCAAAAAAGTTGTTTTCTAAATGACCTTGTTTTAAAATCACTCCAGGTACCTTGTTATCCCATAACTTTGGTATCCTGAAATCTGAGGATTCTACCAAGATAATATGATAAGAACTTTCAGTGATTTGGGGCCATATCCCACTTAGACTAATGTGGAATTTCCAGATTTCCTGAGAGCTTGGTACAGCAGCACGCACTGCTTGCTAATCAGCACAGGCAATAATGCCATCTCTGCCTCAAGAAGGAGGTAGGGAAATTGACTTAACTATGTTATGAAGTATGGAGGTGTTTTACATCACTACTGTTATTTTTTTTTAAAGTATTAAAAATTAATTGGGAACTTTTTAAAGTACCAGAATTTATCATTTTTGCTTGATGTGGGGCGGGGGTGGTATTTGTGTTGTCTGGTATAGATTTTTGTTATTTCAGTGTTATGTGATTATTTTACATTTTTTTAAAGTTATTCAGGGACCCTGTCCCCTGGATTTGAATACAGAATTACCTTATCAAAGCACAATGAAAAGGAAAGTCAGAAAGAAGAAAAAGAAGGGAACCATTACAGCAAATGTTGCCGGGACAAAGTTTGAAATTGGTAGGTTTGCTTAAAATCAATCATGGGATTCTCATAATTGCTAGAAAAACTGATATGGTGTTAAAAACAATGTAGAAATCCAGAGAGATAACTATCTTTTATATAATGGATTTTTAAACGCCTTCTATAAAATTTCTAACATGTTAGAAGGATTCTTTTTCTGTGTGGTAGAGGATGATATCCTTAAAAAGATCCCAATTGATTTCTAAAATTTCAGTTCAAACACTAGTACGATTAGACAGCTTAGCTGAAAAAAGGGACTTGGCATTGTATTTTTCTTTGAAGTTTAATTTTGTCAGCTCTCCAAGCTTTGAATTTCATAATAAAATAGGTTTATATATGACTGACTGACAAATTTGAATTTATGAATGTAAAGAAAAAATGGATCTTTCCAATATTCGTATGTAACCTGAATGTTCCCAGCCTCATGGGTTTGTGTATATGTAAATACCCAAATGTAAGTAACACATTGCATTCTTTCTTCTTTTTTTTTTTGAGACGGAGTCTCTGTAGCCCAGGCTGGAGTGCAGTGGCGCGATCTCGCCTCACTGCAAGCTCAGTCTCCCGGGTTTATGCCATTCTCCTGCCTCAGCCTCCCCAGTAGCTGGGACTACAGGCGCCCGCCACCACGCTTGGCTAATTTTTTTATATTTTTAGTGGAGACGGGGTTTCACCATGTTAGCCAGGATGGTCTCGATCTCCTGACCTTGTGATCTGCCCACCTGGGCCTCCCAAAGTCCTGGGATTACAGGCATGAGCCACTGCGCCCAGCCTACGTTCCTTCTAAACCTAACTGCCAGGAGTTCCGTTTATCTCACCAAGGTCTTCCCAGGTATCTTTGAGACGGTGCAGGCAGTGTCTCTCATATACTCAGGAACAGGTGTGCTCCTGACATGCTCTTCTGAATTTGTTATTGTTTTTGCTTGTGAGCCAGGTAAGGAAGTCTCCTAGTCTGTGTTGCTATTGCCCTTGCTCTGTACATGAACTGTAGGTGGCACAGCAGCTGCTGAGTCCTCAGGATGCCAAAGCTGCATGGTGGTCTGTGACAAAGAGGAATGTTCCTTTCCCCAACTCTTGTGATTGTACACTGTCACCTGGGACTACACCATTCTGTTAAGACTCAGGATTCTGTTGGAAACCACAAATTACCTGAAGTCTTCTACTTATCTTTATTCCACACTTGAAATTCAATGGAAGAAAAATGCCAATATGTTAATTGTAAAATCTAGATCGGAGAGGAACACATGAATGGTTTGTACTAAAAAGGAAATGTTCCTCTGAGCATAAACGTTTTCAGTAGGATTAGAGGGTTGGGAGCAGTGGAGAACCAAATCCAAATCTCTCCTGTGAATATTGCTTTATTATTTCATGTCCTAAGTAAACACAGATGAGTTGATTTTAAGCTCTAAAAATAATTTGAACTAGGGAGGTGGAAAGTATGGCATAGGTTTGATAATCAGGGGATATTTTTACCTTTGCTCTTTTGTACTTAACCTAAGGTTGTAAAAAAAGCTATAAAAAGTACATTTTCCTGAGTAGAGGTATTGTCTCAGCTGTGTGTGTTTTCCTTGTGCCATAAATAATCACTAAACCCTTTGGCAGTTTTGTGTACCTGTTAAACCTGAGAAGATCGAAAGGAAGGATTTTGGGTGCAACTGAAAAACAGTTCTCAGTTACTACTGAGTATAATTTGGCCCTAGATAAAACTGTTGTAACTAAAAATAAGGTTATGCTGTAACTAATATTTTTCAAATGAAATACTGTGAACTAAAATTTATATAGAAAAATGTTTCTGCAATGAATATATTTCAGAAGTATTTTAATTTTGGTTTAACTTAACTGTTTACTTGCAGTTCGTTTAGTAATAGATGAAATGGGATTTATGAAAACTCCAGATGAGGATGAAACAAGTAATCTTATATGGTGTGATTCTGCTGTTCAGCAGGAGAAAATATCAGAGCTGCAAAATTATCAGGTAGGAAATTAATCATGACCAGTTAGTCGTATGAGGAAAGTTATATGGATTCCACCATAATTTTTTTAGATAGGTTCTTAATCTGTTACCTTATTAAATTTCAATTCTAACTCACCTGAATAGCCTGTTTTGTTTCTATCCACTTGTATTGACACTTTGCATGAAGCCTGCATCTTTTGCAGACTTAAGTTTTAACCTCTTTCTATCTTTAGGGAAGAATCAATAGAGAAAACCTCTTCTGGCCGGGCGCGGTGGCTGACGCCTGTAATCCCAGCACTTTGGGAGGCCAAGGCGGGTGGATCACGAGGTCAGGAGATCGAGACCTTCCTGGCCAACATAGTGAAACCCCGTCTCTACTAAAAATAGAAAAATTAGTTGGGCGTGGTGGTGCCACCTGTAGTCCCAGCTACTCGGGAGGCTGAAGTGGGAGAATCGCTCAAACCCAGGAGGTGGAGGCTGCAGTGAGCTGAGATCGGGCCACTGCACTACAGCCTGGTGAACAGAGCAAGACTCCATCTCAAAAAACAAGCAATAACAACCAAAAAAATACCCTTTTCCTAAGATGGTACTTTACATTGCAGTTAAAGTTGTAGAATAGATTGCATAGGGAGACCAGGATGCAGAAATACCTTGTGAGGTCAGCTATATGTAATCTGGTTTCATTCTTTTATTTTTAGAACATAATACAAACTTATATTCAGAAGAAAATAGACCTCAAACTAAAAAGCTGAATATAAGGAATTCTAGAGAATTGACAGTTTGTATAGACCTTCTTCATTTATTAGTTTAGAATGTAATATAAAATTGACTGTGGTGAGCAAATAAGTCATTTTTACCAGTGCTGATGTCTGTGAATATAGTGCATCTAGAATAACAAAAGTAATTTGGATATTATCACTATTCAACCTAGAAAATTATAACTTTACTATCTATGTAAATATTCTTTTGTGATTTCTTTAAAATTTTGTAGTTTTATTCTCTGATTACCATACTCTTTAATTCTACAAATTCACTATAGGTCATTAAATCTTTTAGATTAATAATTGGCAGTTTATTAAAACAAAACTCAAAGGATGGATATTGCATTGTCATATACGTGAATATAATTAATTTGCTGATAATATTAATATTTACCTTTTTATTTTCCAGAGGATCAACCATTTTCCAGGAATGGGGGAGATCTGTAGAAAGGATTTCTTAGCAAGAAATATGACCAAGTAATCTTTATTTTCTTGTAATGGAGAAGACCTGTTCAAAACTTATAATATGAATACTGTAGTGGTATCTTTCACAAGGTTACATTGATTTGAAATGATATTTAGATGAGAGTGATAGAATTTTAAAGCTAGAAAGGTCTTAGAATGTCTCTGGTTCTAGTCTTCCACTTTGCAGAGGAGGTAAATGAGGGTCAGATAAATGAATATCTTGCACAAACTCAAGCAAATTGTTAATAGCAGAGGTGGGTAAGAATCAGTCTCCAGAATCTCAGGCCCCTTTACTGCAACTTGCTGCCTCTTTAGTAACAGAGTTTTTCGTTTAAATGTAAGAGTTATCTGTATATGTCATCTAAGAGATACTTGTTTATTTTCAGTTAAATTTTGCAGGAACTAATTCGTTGCCTTATATGCCGTGTGTGTGTGTGTGTGTGTGTGTGTGTGTGTGTGTGTTTCTGTGTGTTTTCATATTGGTGATTGAGCATTTACTATGTGCCAGGGATTGTACTAGGTACATGTATGCACACACTTACTCAAAGACACATGTATATATGCTCACCCAGGGATATACATGCACAGATATTTATCTCTGCAACCAATATTTAGAGGAGCAATCTACTTTCATGGAAAAGCTGATAATAAGTACCCCAGTCTTTTACTTAATAAACTGAAAAATTTTTATGCAGTTTATATTCCTGTTGGCTAGGTTTTTTGCCTTTTTTTTAAGTTTAAGAAAGTTGAGTGATAAACTGAGAATTTTTTTTAAAAGAAGATTATTCACAGAGATTTAGTAAACTTTCTGACTCTAAAAAATGGTAGTATAAAAGGTAATCAAAAACTGTTCCCTATGGTGACCCAGAGACTCAAAATTATTTGTAAAGAAGCAATATAAATAGTATTTGTCTGAACAATTCCCTACTCCCTACTCCCATCCCTGAGGCACAGTTACTGACTCCTACATGTTACCTTGCCTTATATGCCTTTAGTGTACCTATCACACTGTTTAATATTAATAGCCTATCTATATATTCCTTGGGAGCAGAGATGATACTCATTTATCTTACTATCCCCAGTACCTAGCAAATAGTGTGTACTCTAAAAAAAAGTTTGATATACTAATATGTAAATTAGTACATATTAGGGCAAGTTTTTTTTTTTTCCCACTGATGTATCCATGGTCCAGAATAGTGTCTAACACTTAATAGGTGCTCAATAGACATTTGTTGAATGAATGAATCAATGAATAAGTAAGTGAAGGAATGGAGAAAATTTAAATCTTTGTGGCAAATATCAGTAGCCCAGAGAAAGAAAATATATACAAGTTTGAATAGAAATTATTTTTCCTATTATCTCTGATTTACAGAATGATCAAGTCTCGGCCTCTGGATTATACCTTCGTTCCTCGAACATGGATCTTCCCTGCTGAATATACTCAATTCCAAAATTATGTGAAAGAATTGAAGAAAAAACGGAAGCAGAAAACTTTTATAGTGAAACCAGCTAATGGTGCAATGGGTCATGGGTAGGTTTGCTTTTATTTGGAATATATAAAAATAAAAAAAATTTGGGAGTAGGGAGAATAAATGTGCATAATTACTCATGGTTGAGTACCAACATGAAAAAATAATGAAATAAGTTTCTAACTATTGCATTTTTGGAACCAAATATTTAATGATCTCTGTTCTTTTAAACTCTCCCACAGGCTTCTGTAATTCAGTTAAAAAATTTAATCAACAGGTTGTGAGGCTTTAATAGGAGATAACAAAATATAAGGGGAAAAAGCTATTTTGTGTTTTTTTCTAAAACATAAAACTCACATTTATAATAATTTCAATAGACTTGGAGAGTAAAATCAGTTGCTACAGTAGGGCTACAACTGACTTGGAGAAAGAAATGAAAAGGGAGTTATTCTTTTCATAGCTAGAAATCTTGAAGGAAAATATGTATCTTCTTTGCCTTTAAATAAATTTTTTCTTTATGTAGCCATGGTAATTGGATTAAAAATGAGTGGAACACATTTTAAACTGAAGTTCCAAGAACTAGACATGTTAACTGAGAATAGAATGTGCAAGTAATATTCTTGTTTCCTTTTGCTTATGTTAGTTTTCTGCCATGTACTTTTTCGAAGAAAATGTGGCTGAGGCTGCTTTTAATAAAATACACTTGGCCGGGCACGGTAGTTTACGACTGTAATCCCAGTACTTTGGGAGGCCGAGGCAGGCGGATCACGAGGTCAGGAGACTGAGATCATCCTGGCTAACATGGTGAAATCCCGTCTCTACTAAAAATACAAAAAATTAGCCAGGTGTGGTGGCGGGCGCCTGTAGTCCTAGCTACTCAGGAGTCCGAGGCAGGAGAATGGTGTGAACCGGGGAGGGAGAGCTTACAGTTAGCCAAGATCGCGCTCCAGGTTACTGCACTCCAGCCTGGGCGACAGTGCGAGATTCTGTCAAAAAAAAAAAAAAAAAAAAAAAAAATACACTTGAGTCATTTTATGCTGTAGGAAAAAAGATATTTGGAAATATAGCTACCAGGTAAATTATTGTTCAAAATTTTTCTTTTAACTTTTAATCATAACTTAATAATCCAATCATAAATTACTTGCAAATGTGCTTTGGTAATTTTTAACTAATAGTATTAATGGGAATTTTATACCAATTGCTTAATGCTGAGTTGGCTGTCTCTGTGTTAGCATTAAAGGAATGTTTCTGGTGGTAAGGAATTGATTTTTCACATTTTTCTCAATTTTAATGTTAAAAATTTAATATTAAAATATCTATATTTATATACTTATATTTGATATTAAAACATAAATAATAATCTTTTAATTTATTTTGATGGCAATATAAACAAATAACTGGAAAAGCAGATAACTGAAAGGGCATTATGTGTTCCCAGGGTTTATCTCATGTAATGCAGTAGTACCTAGGTAAAGAACACCCCTCTCATCTATTGAATTGTATCTGTTTCCTTGCTAATCTTCTGTCTAGTTATTTTGTCCATTATTGAAAGTAGAGTATTGAAGAATCCAGCTGATATTGGTGAAGTATTTCTCCCTTCAATTCTACCAGTGTTTGCTTCATGTATTTTGGAGCTCTGTTATTAGGCACATAAATGTTCCTAATTGTTACATATTCTTGAGGAATTGACTTTTAAAAAATCAGTATATAATGTGATTCTTTGTCTCTTATAACAATTTTGCCACTCCAGGTTACTGTTTTATTGCAATATCTTTTCCATCCTTTCACTTTCAATCTATTTGAGTCTTTGACTTTAAAGGGTGTCTCTTGTAGACAGCATATTGGTGGACCATGTTTTTTAAAAATTCATTCTGCCAAGCTCTGCCTTTTATTGGAGAGTTAATCTATTTACATTTAATGTAATTACTGAAAAAGAAATATTTACTTAGGCCATTTTGCCACTTGATTTATGTATCTTGTAGTTTTTGTTCCTCAATTTCTCTGTATTGTCCTGTTTTGTGTTAAATAGATATTTTCTTCTGTACCATTTTAATTCCCTTGTCATTTCTTTTACTATGTATTGCTGAGTTTTAAAAAATGATTACCCTGGAATTACCATTATCTTAATTTATAACAATCCAGTCTATATTAATACCAACTTAGTTTCAGTAGTGTATAAAAACTTCGTTCCTGTATAGATTTACTCCCTTTATGTTGTTATTGTCACAAATTATATCTCTGCACCTTCTGTGTCCATTGGCATAGATTTATAACTATTGTTTTAAGCAGTTGTCTTTTAATTCATTAGGAAAAATGAGGAGTTAAAAACCAAAACTACAATAAGAGAGACTTTTTTGTTTTTTGATATGGAGTCTCACTCTGTCACTCAGTCACCCAGGCTGGAGTGCAGTGGTGTGATCTTGGCTCACTGCAACCTCTGCCTCCCAGGTTCAAGTGATTCTCCTTCCCCAGCCTCTTGAGCAGCTGGGATTACAAACGTATGCCACCATGGCTGGCAAATTTTTGTATTTTTAGTAGAGATGGGGTTTCTCCATGTTGACCAGGCTGGTCTCGAACTCCTGACCTCAGGTGATCTACGTGCGTCAGCCTCCCAAAGTGCTGGGATTACAGGTGTGAGCCACCGTGCCCAGCCAGAACTTTTATATTTACCTGAGTAGTCACCTTTCTGGTGTTCTTTGACAATTTGATTATAGTATATCTTGATATGGATCTCTTTGAGTTTATCCTACTTGGAGGTAATTGAGCTTTTTGGATGTGTAGATTAATGTTTTTATCAAATTGGGAAGTTTTTTGCCAGTATTTCTTCAAATATTCTTTGAATTTTTTTCTTTGTCTTCTCTCCTTCTGAGACTCCTATTATGTGTGTGTTGCTGTGCTTGATGGTATTTCACAGATTTTGTAGGCTCTCTTCATTTTTCTTCTTTTTTCTTTCTGTTCCTCAGACTAGATAATGTCAGTTGGCTTATCCTCAAGTTTTCTGATTCTCTTTATGCCTTGTCAAGTATACTGTTTATCTCCTTTAGTGAATTTCTTTTTCTCAGTTATTGTACTTCTCAACTCTAAAATTTCTGTTTGGTTCCTTTATTTTTCCTTAATTTTTTATCACTACTAATATTCCCTGTTTAATGAGACACTGTTCTCATAGTTTATTTCAGTTCTTCGTACATGGTTTCTGTTAGCTCTTTGAATAAATTTTAAATAGTTGATTATCCAGTAAGCCCAATGTCTGGGCTTCCTCGTGACAGTTTCTATTAATTGATAGTTTCCCTGTATATGGGCCATACTTTCTTTTTCCTTTGCATGCCTCATAATATTTTGTTGAAAACTGAACATTTTGAGTATTATACTATAGCAATTCTAGAAATCAGACTCTCCCCCTCTATGTAATTTGTTGTTGCAGCTCATTGTAGTAGTTGTAGTCTGTGTTCTTTGCTGTGTATGGCCACTGAAGTTCCTGTTCTGTTAGCTCAGTGGTCAGCTAATACTTGGACAGAGATTTCCTTAAACAGAGCAAAACAAACAACAAAAAAGCTCTCAGTAGATGACTGTGTGTGTGATTGCTGGGACATGCCTTCAGCATGCAAACAAATAATTTACAACTCTGCCTTAGCCTTAATTTCCTGCTTGTACAGAGTCTGATGGTTAGCCAGAAGGGACAGCTTAGGGCCTTCTCGGGTCTTTCTTGAGCATGCTGCTAACCTTGGGCATGTAACTGGTCATCTAGATTCCCGGGAATATGTCAGAGCTTTTCAAAGTTTCAAAGATTCTCATTGCTCAGCCCTTCCTCCCAGTCTTTTTAATTGGTCTATTGTCTGCCCACCTGTTGCCCTCAACAACCTAGACAGTAAATGTTTCCAACAATTGTCTCTGAAAGTAGTTGCCTCAGTACTGGTAAAGTTCCAAGTTAGGCAAGATGAAAGCAAGCCCTTTGAGGTCCTCCAGGAAGGCACCAGACAGGTCAAAACAACCAACCATAAGAATAGCCCATTCTACCCAGTCCAGGACCAGTACTGGTATTGAAAATGAGGCTGTTCAAGGCTGCCGCTGAGCTGTGAGTGGATGATGGGACTACATTGAGTTAAAGTGTTACAAAGCTCTTTGGCACAGATCCAGCTGTTTTTTTCTTAGTTAAGTATTCCATTTGCTGCAAGCCTTTGCTTAGTTTGTGGGGTTACAAAGTTGATTCCTATGATTTCTTTTGCTCTTCATTGCTTTTGTGGAGGGGCAGACTTTTGGAGTCCCTTACTCCACTGTTTTCCACTTGAGTATATCTGTAACTTTTTAAACATCTTGCTCTATGTCAAATCATTCTTTTAATTTTTTTCTTTAAACATAGGATTTCTTTGATAAGAAATGGTGACAAACTTCCATCTCAGGATCATTTGATTGTTCAAGAATACATTGAAAAGCCTTTCCTAATGGAAGGTTACAAGTTTGACTTACGAATTTATATTCTGGTTACATCGTGTGATCCACTAAAAATATTTCTCTATCATGATGGACTTGTGCGAATGGGTACAGAGAAGTACATTCCACCTAATGAGTCCAATTTGGTAAGTGATACCAGACAGAACTTAACGTTTTCATTCAACTTTTTTCCTATAAAATATATTACTTTACCCTTTCTCTGCACTTGTAAAGGGAAATGCTTAGAGCTTTCGTAATAGATTAATAAACTCCCTTTCTCAAATTGACCTAGAATAAATGGATGTTCAACATATACCTTTTAAAGCTTCCATTAGGCATATAGATTGTATGAATGAAAGTTCCTGCTCTCGGGTTTTGTGGTCTAGAAGAATTGTGTGCACATGTAAGATTGCTTTTAACTTACAAGCAGCTTTGTGGACATTAGAAAATAAAGGTATCTGCTAATTGAAGGCTGACTGGGAAAAAGTACCCTCTCTGTGCTGTGAGCACAAGGCTGGATTTCAAAGCAAACATCTGTGTGCAGTGGCCCTGTATAGAAATGACTATATTATAAATGATACTAATATGCAATGATTCTTGATTCAGTATAATAATGATACTAGCATGCAATGGAGAAGTACAGATTAAGTGTTTTGGAGCTGTGTTGGGGCAGTTTGTGTTCAGCTTCTCATGGAGGAGGTGACATTTGAGCAGGCTTTGTATAACACGTAGGGTGTGAACATGTTGAACGTGGGAGAAAGTATATGAAACGGAAAAGCAAAAGTTATCAGAAAGTAGTTATTAATTTCTGTTGCAATAAAAGAGAAGTAAGACTGTCAACTTACATTGACCAATGTGAGGTTGAGACAAATGAGCAGTTTCAGTGTGCATTTTAAAGCCTGTTAAATGGAGCTTTGTGTAGATATTTTTCAATAAAGACTTTTTTGTGCAGCCATAACATATTTATAAAAGTTATAGCTAAATTTATCATGAAAATAATAACTGTAATTTGTAGCTTATAAAAGTTAAATTATAATTTATTATGCATACTTAAACTTTAGTTAACCTCTAAACCTATTTTTGGATGTAACTAACTATAGTTAAAATTACAATTAATTGTTTTCCAACTTGTCAAAGACCTGGTTACTGTTCTCCCCTAATATTATGCACACAATTAACTCCATTAAATGTGGTCATTTTTTCAACATTAAATAATGGCTGATCATAAATGGTACTATGTTCAGTAAAATGAAAAATGTTGTAAACCCGGCAAAGGAAGAATAAGGAAACTGTCAAACCTTTCATAGGAAAAGAAGTTAAAAGAAAGAAACATTATTAAAGGTTATAAGGTCTAGATATAGCCAATCACCAAGTGATGTTTGAACTCTACCACATTTTGGGCATTGTGCTAGTTTTTAAAAAAACAGTGACCAGACAGATACAGTGCTTGACCTCACAGAAGCAACAGTTTAGTGGGGAGGCAGAAAATAAAATAAGCAATTATAATATCTGATGGTAAGTGTGATGGTCTAAGAAACTGAAGGTGCTATGGCAGTGCATAGCAGGGACACATAACCCAGTTGGAGATAAAGGTTAGAGAGGAAGTCTTTTATAAATTGAAATCTGAATAATGAGGAGTTAGCCAGATTCGGGTGCAGGGTAGGGTTGGATGGAGCTCCAGGCAAAAGAATGGCTCAGAGGTAAGACAGAGTGTGGCATGTCTGGAGAAAGCAGACAAGGTCAGTTTGGCTGAAGTATAGAATAAGAAGGAGTGACTGTTCAGAGATGAGGATGGTGAGTCCTAGAAGCCAGATCCCTTAAGGCTTTGTAGGCCTTGTCTAGGATTTTAGAATTTAACTTAAGATAAAAGGAAGGATTGAAGGGTTTTACACAAACAAAAGAAGGAATGTCCCCTGGTCTGGAATGTGAGATGGAGGTGGAGATGGATGGAAGTGATTAGAGTCAGAGAGACAAGAAGTTACATATATTTTGAATAACATGTAAAGTATTCTAGTCTGACCACATATGGAAGGAAAAAGGACTTAAATTGAAATAGTAGCAGTGGGTCCTGACCAAGAATAAGAGCATGGATTTGAGATATATTTGAGATAACATGGATAACGTTGATATAATATGGTCACAGGTTGTATTTGTGGAATGAGAGAAAGGGAAAGTGAAATCAAGAATAAAACTCAGGTTTCTGACATCTGATGGATGGTGTATTAGGGAATGGTGATAAGGGAATACAGAACTATTAAAGGTTTTGTGGAAAGTGGATGTATTCAGTTTAAAGGCCTGTGTGACCTCCAAGTGGATCTGTTCTGTAGGCATTTGATTATACAGTATAAGTTTGAAGTTCAGAAGACATTTCTGAACTACATACATAATTTGAGACTTGTCAATACATAGATTATACTTTAAATAATTGGCATGGGTAAGAGTGGATTATATATGTGTAAGGTGGGAGTGATCTTTTGATAGTATTGGAAAGAATAAGACTTGGAAGCTCTTTTGGGTGATAAAGTGCTTTATTCTAATGTCCTATGTGTATATCATTAGCTTAAATTCAGTGGGATTAATCTCAATGAGAGATTGAGAGAAAGGAAGTGTGGCCTGTAGGTCTCATTTTGTATGTGCTTTTGAATCACATAAGCTCCTGGCTTTGGTTTTTACATATATAGAAAAAAGATGTTCTCTTACATAAATGTCTATATCACTCATAGATCTCTAGAATTTCGTGATTGAATATCTAGGTTGAGATATGAAAATATTAAAAAGTGAAATACAAAAGTGTCTGTAAAGTGAGACCATGGTTATGTAAAAGGTAAGTTTAGAAAAAAACACTAGAAAAATTAAACCAAAGTGCTCTCATTGGTTGTTTCTGGATGGCAGCTTGCTACGTATTTTTTCCTTCTTCCTATTTCAAATTTTTAAAATAGTGAGCATGTATTTTATATATGTATTATTTCTATAAGAATTAAATGTTCATCAACTACATATAAGCAGATTATGAGACAGAATTTCAAACATTGAAATATAATAAACATTCCATTTTTGCTACCAATGTAGTGGTTGGCCAATCCTTGCAGATTGCTGTATGGTTCATAGCTGCTTTTGATTCTATTTCTTGCAAATGACTAACTGGCAGTGAACTGCTTAGATGCCTATTTTTGTCAAGGTAAATGTGAAGTTGTGGAATTTCCAGTCCATTTACAAAGATACTGTTTAAGAAAAATACAAAGTTTCCTTACTTAATTTTTCACTAGAATAGCTAGTGGTGGTGTTAGTATTATTAATTTTAAGAAATTCTTGCCAAATACAGACTTCCTTACAAGATTATTTTCCAAATCTCTTTTTAGAAGTTAAGAAAATTTGTATTTTGGAAACTAGGAAGTGCCCCAGCTTGATTAATTTCCTTTTTCTTTAAATTAAGCACTTAAAATTAGGTAAGCATAAGATTTATGCTTTTTCTTTTAAGTATCATTTAATTTAAAGCTTTTCCTGTTTCTAAGGATAGAGACTGTTGTTTATTTTGTTGTCTTTGTATCCACAGTGCCCAGCAGAGACTGCTGCAGATAGTAGGTGTTCCTTAAATATTGTTTAATGAATGAAAAAAATAAATTCTTAATTAGTGGTAGGCACATGGATTAATAAACAATATGTACTCAAATTATCATTTCTGCCTTCTTGCTTCAAAGATTTCAATGCCATAGGCTTAAGGAACTGCAGCAAAAATAAAATATGACATGAATATAGTTGGCTGTTAACAAATCAAAATAATAATCATGTGAATGAAGTATATTTTAATTGTGATGTAACTTTGCTCTCTAAAGTAATCTTTAGGATCATGAGGAGGGTAGGAATTAAAGATAGATTTTTATGAATGCTTGTGTTAGCTTGATAAAAAGGCATTAGATATATATTAATTGACAATTATGAGGAGTTTTAAATTTTGAATTCTTTTTCAATTTAAGGAAAATAGTATCAACAAATGTAAGATTATAACGAGACAAAAACGTAGAGCTCCAGTATGGAGCACGATACTGTACTGGACATCCGCACAGTATTATGTGGTACCTTCTGTCTGCTGACTGTAAGTGCACTCTGGTACCAAGCTAAAGGGGCCTCCTAGTCAGTATGGGTGTGCAGAGGTTTTGTTTGGTAGTCCTGCCTCTCTATGTGACTTACTTGAGTTTTCATTTTTTAGTTTTCTTGAAAAAGACATAGAATACTCTCTCAGAAAATTCCTTTCCCAAAACAGATTTGAGTGAAAACTCTCAGAGCCAAAAACATTAAAAACAAATTAACAAGAACAAACTCAGATCATTTTTCTTGCTTAGCAATATGTAGTTTCACATTTTAATTACTCTATATTCTTATTAATTTGATACTTTTTAATGGTAGACATATTTTGAATAATATGTAAAGTAACTCTGTAGATGATTACATTCTCAACCCTTTTAAGGGAAATGTGCCATTCCATTTAATTGGGATATTATCTAAATAATCATGAAATTGTTCATCTATATAGTTTAAACTTTAAAACTTTTTTTAGTCTTTGAGTGTCTATTTTTCCTCTGAAACTTTGCAGTTCTAGGATGTCATAGGTGGTAACCACTTTGGTTCTTACTTGTTACAGACCCAGTTATACATGCATCTGACAAACTACTCGGTGAACAAGCATAATGAACGTTTCGAACGGGATGAAACTGAGAACAAAGGCAGCAAACGTTCCATCAAATGGTTTACAGAATTCCTTCAAGCAAATCAACATGATGTTGCTAAGTTTTGGAGTGATATTTCAGTAAGATTATGCCATTCCACAATTATAACGGTCTGTCCTCAGCAATAATTTGAAGCACCGTCAGGCCATGAAAGTTCATTAAGAGTTGATTGAACTTGGTTCCCTATAATTGAGAGGACCAGAGAGAAAAAAACAGGCCGTTACACAGCCTACTGCTTAACAACAGGGATGCATTCTGAGAAATGCATCCTTGGGTGATTTTATCATTGTGCAGATATCACAGTTTGTACTTACACAAACCTAGAATAGGAATAGCCCACTACATACCTAGGCTATCATATAGCCTGTATATGGTATAGTCTGTGGCTCCTAGTCTACAAACCTGTACAAAACATTACTGTACTAGGCTGGGCACAGTGGCTCACACCTGTAATCCCACCACTTTGGGAGGCTAGGCAGGCGGATCAGGTCAGGAGTTCGAGACCAGCCTGGCAAACATGGTGAAACCCTGTCTCTACCAAAAATATAAAAAATTAGCTGGATGTGGTGGTGCGCTCCTGTAATCCCAGCTACTCAGGAGGCTGAGGCAGGAGAATTGCTTGAACGCGGGAGGTGTAGATTGCAGTGAGCCAAGATTGTGCCACTGCACTCCAGCCTGGGCAACAGGGCAAGATTTGGTCGCCAAAAAAAAAAAAAAAATTTACTGTACTGAATAGTGTAAGCAATTGTAATACAATGGTAAAGATTGTATACCTAAACATGGAAAAGGTACCCTAAAATACAGTATTATAATCTTATGTGATCCCTGTTGAATATGCTATGCATTGTACACCAAAATGCTGTTATGTGGCATATGACTCTATTCACCCTTGTTTATTTTGTTTGTTGACATTTTTACCTTACTTTCTATATCACCGGCCATAAATCCAAAGGTCCTTAGGTGTCAGACAAGTAAGAAGGAGTGAAGTGGTCTCTAGATAGAAGAAACTAGGGTGTTCTGGGAACTGTGATAATTTGAAAGTCAGGAGAGGTCTGAAGGAGGTAGCCACCACTCAGCACCAGCTTATTGGTGCCAGTGATATTTTAGGCCAAGTGAGGCTTATTCTTCTAATTTGTTGATAAATTATGTGTAAATGGCAGAAATGGCATAAATGATTTTAAATGTTGGCAATGGACTCAAAAATTTTAAAGATGTTGAGACTTAACAAACAAAAATGTCATCTGGATTTGGTCAGATACCCACCAATTTGTTAACTTTCATTTATAACTTCCTGAGAGATGAAATGCATGTAAATGAGAAATTGGATCATAACAATGCTGCATTTATTTGTTTATGTAATTATGTTCTCAAGGCCAATTTCATGGAAATTCCAAAAACCATTCTAATGACAGTTTACTATCATAGTGAGTCAGAAGCATCACAATGGTGAAACTCAGTGATTTTGGACCATAGTTCATTGATGGAAGATCATACCATCTTCCATCTGATGGTAATTCAATGAATTGGTGTATTGCTCAGTGGGACCAAGAAAGTTTTATATACCCTCTGGCATTTTTTTTTTTTTTTTTTTACAAATGTACACATTTGTAACCCTCATATGGATTTGGCTCTTTGGGGACATGTTTGTGAAAAGGTAGAACCTGTTGGGCTGCTTTGGTGAGGCATGTATGGAGAGAATCAGGGAGAATAATGAGGGTCGTTAGCTTTACATATATTGGTTTTAAGTGACGTTTTTTCCTCACAATTGAATTAAGAGAAGGTATACAAGCAAGACTAATACTAATGAGAGGATATGGAAATTAACTTTCTGTTAGGACCTGAAGTATAATTTTTAGATATGACCCGAACATAGCCAATGTGGGCCTATTAAGCTCTGACACATTTCATGGTCTTGTCTGTAGGTGAATAAATTTTGCATCTTTCTTGGCTATGTTAGTAAGAATGCATATTAATCATCTATAAACAATCAGTTAATAAACCTACCTTTTTCAAGTACTTTTATTATAATTATCTTGTCAAACACCTGTCTGTATTTATGTAATTATGTGAAAATTGGCTGTCTTTATTAAGAATTGGTATACTTTATATAGATAACTGTTTAAGATAAATCAATGGGATAATATAAAAAGAGAATGACAGGAGGAGGTGGAGAAAGCAATTATGCAGTAAATTTTTATCTTGATGTCTTAGTTCACAAATTCCCTGAATTTAATTTATAACTTATTTTTAATAACCTCTTTTTGGGGGGCAATTTCTCCAAAAAGTAACTATCAATATATAAAAAGTAGCATTCATCAATACCCTGTGTGAAGAACAGAGCTGTGTACTTTTGTTCTGGTCAGTAATAAAAATCAGTAGAAAATCAAGCCATGGAGATTAAAAATGAGCATAATCATTAAAAAAAACTATCCTTACTGCTTTTTGTATACCTAAGGTATAAATCTACAAATCACATTTCAAAGCAGTGATATTATGTTGTAAATTCTCAAAAACAGTAGTGGAATTTCGTTTGTGTTTGTTTATATGACTCCTGATTTTCACTTCTGCTGAAAACTTGCCTTTACAATCTAAAAGCAGGTTATTTTCTTCATAGCAAAAACATATTTGTAATTCAGGGTCTGTTGATTAATAATCAGTCCCTACCCTCTCCCTCAGCCTATACTGTTCCATACAGACACTTATCAGTCAAAGTTTTAACTTTTTCCTGCTCTCAAGTGGTTTCAGTAATATTGGCGAAGATTTATATAAAGTGACTTTTTATCATTTATTTTATATACTATGGTGCTGTCATGAATTTGTTACCTTGAACAAAATGTTTTGAAAACAGCCTCTCATGGGACCTCTGATAGTTATTCTCAAATATGAACTGCATTGTGGTTCTGGGTAACAGTGAGGTTAACTTCTGTCTTCTCTTTTATCTCTCATATAATAAATATTGTTCTACCAGGTAGTAGAGTGTTTGAGTCTAACCTGACATATGAGGTGGAATTCTAGAGGAATGATAGAATAACAGTAACAATAATAGTACTCTGGGCACTATGCTAAGAGTTTTACATGGCATCTCATTTTGTTCTGACATTAACCTTTTGCAGATTATATTTAGGAAAAATGAGACTCACAAAGTTTAAGCAACAGGACTGAGGTTGCACAGCTAGCAAGTTACAAACCCAGGAAGAAACACAAGAATCCTGATTTTAGAGCCAGGTTCTTAACTGTCTTTTCCTATTGCCTATACCTGTAGAGAGGGAGTTAAAATGACAATGTCTTCTGAGCAAAAATAAGTGAGACAGCTTTTCTCCTACAACTTGTTCTGAAACTTCAGTAAAACAGCTTTTTAAAAATTAGGGTTAATAACTCATCCCAGTAGTATTATGTGATTTCTCTCAGAAAATATTGAGAGCCAATCTTTTAATTGGTAACACTCTTCTCAGATAAAACTTATACACTACAAAATCGTCACTAAATAAAGAAACTCAACTCTCATAGATTTTGTCTTCCAGCCCTTTCAGCCTTTATCTAAGTAGAGTTTCTATACTGGTGTTTGTGAAATAATTTACTCTCCTTGGAATTTTTCCTCCCTATCACCTTCATCTCTTCTGGATGGGGCTAGCCTATGCTCCTACCTTACTTGTTTTTAACTTGTTTTAACAACTGCCTTACTTGTTTTAACATATAAACAAGTATGAATAACTTGTTTACAAAGTAAACAAGTTACTTGGATTTACTTGGATATCTACTGAATGCCAGCTACTATTGTAGGCACTGGGAATGGTGTTATAAATAAGTCAGACAAGGTCCCTGCTCTAATGTAAAAAGAAAAATATCAACTGGTCATATGCTGTGTGTAGTGGTGCGGTAAGAAATGAAGGGTGGCTACTTTTAACTTGGGGGTTGGGAAAGCCTTTCTGAATGTCTTAAGAGCCAGAGTTGCAAATATAGGGGAAAGAGTATTCCACAAGAGGGAACAGCTAATGCAAAGGACTTAAGATAGGAAGAAGTGTCACTTACTTGAGGAACCCAAAGCAAGCATGAGGAGCGCAGTGGGCAGGGATAAGAGTGAAGAATGAAGTTAGATCTGTGGCAGGGGCTAGATGCCACAGAGCTTTGTAAACTTGGCTAGGCTGCCAGTTTGTGGGCCCTGCTTATATTTACATATATGAAATGAGACACAAAGGCATTTTCACCTCTTTTATCACAATCTTATAGGAATTGGTGGTAAAAACCCTGATTGTAGCAGAACCTCATGTCCTGCATGCGTATCGAATGTGTAGACCTGGTCAACCTCCAGGAAGCGAAAGTGTCTGCTTTGAAGTCCTGGGATTTGATATTTTATTGGATAGAAAACTAAAGCCATGGCTTCTGGAGGTAAGGCATTCTTTAAGAAAAAAAGAGGAGTTATCACTGTCCTTATGTATTAAAATAAATGCTTTAAAAATCTGTACTTAACACAGTTGTCCCATTAACTGTCTAGAATGAAGCCTGAATAGAGTAAGTGGGAAGAAGAGGATAAAAATTCAGGGACTACAATAGTTCTAAGAATGAATCAAAGTGTTTGATACTACTTTTCCCAAATTAGTGTCAAGTGAATTTCTAGGCCAGGTATTTGGGATTGAAGTGTGAAGGTGCTTTTACTGATTTGTTGCTTACTTGCTCTACTATTTTCTCAGCCTCCTGGCTTCTACCACGTCATGAGGTCTGGATAGCGTCTCTCCTCTCTGTGGGTGCCTGGGCTTCAGAATCTTGCCTTCAGTGTGTCTCCCCTTCAAACTCTCCGAGAGGCTCCAATTGGTTCATTAATCAGTATTCAGTATCCGATACCCCAGGTGGTAAATGTCTCCTTTAAGGCCATGTTATATACCTGGGGCTTCCCTCAGGGAGACTGTCAACTGTATGCCTTCAGGTTTGCTGCCAGTCCCTGGTGGAGTGAGAGTTATCATTATTTTTCTTTGATGATAAAAGGTCATGTAACACATACGAAATAGTAAAAGGGAGAAAGTAAAAATTATCTCTGTTGACAATTTTTATATTTTTTTCTGCTAGTTACATTTATATTACCCAGAAGAAACCTTAGAAGTCATGTGGTCCAGAAGATCCCATCCAGCAGTTCCTTTTAAGCTCCTTGATCTGGGGTTACACACCTTCTCGTGGCCGCTTAAATATCATGTTTGGGAAACTTAATCAGGAACATATTGCTATAGAAGATGTCATCAGCCACTACCTTTCATTTTAAATCAATTGTCTCTCTTTTTGTTAGTGATTTGTAAGTTAGAAGTTGTGTATGTAATATCACGGATTGCATAAGCAAATTGAATGAGTGGTAGGTGAGATGAAGATACTAAAAATACATTTCCAAGAAATTATACTTTTCTAATTTGAGAGCCAAAGATTGTGTGTGTGTGTGCGCGCGCACACGCGAAACAAGAACATGTATTGTGTCTCCAAGGAAATACAGTTCTCTCTGTTGGATATTCAGACTTTGCTCCAGCCTGGGTCTTAGAGATAAGATAAATGTGAGGAGTTTTACTTATTTTTTGCTTCCTCCATTCCTTGGATATGAAAACACTTGACTATGCACTATGGACCCTTCATCTTGCTAAGGCCTGACATTTGCTTTAGATTTCTTGCTTTTTCTGCAGCAGTCCTTTACTGTTCTTAGCTATATTGTCTTCTGCCCCTGTACTTTTCTTTTGTCATTGATGGAGTGGGGAAAAAGTGAGGCATGTGCATAAGGAGGATATTAGGAAATAATGACTTTATAGATCTCTTAGTTTCCTTTTTAGAAAAAAAACCATTTGCTTCACTAGAGCTTTCCATTAGCTTGCTAAATCAGAATTGACTGAATGGTTGAATTCTGGATTTTACAAGAATCAAAATAACCATTGTTTGCATGAATGTTTCTTCATTCTTTACTCTCCTTCATTGTTTCTAGATCAATCAGAACCATTAAAACACTCCACAATAACCAAGAGCTGTGGATAATGAACATTTGTTATATTAAAACGGTTAAAAGAATCTTCAGTCTTGCCTTGTGTTTTGCTCCCTGCTGAAATTTTAGTGGGTCTAATATACATTGTTAAAAACCTTTTGGCGCCATCAAGTGGAATAAGGTAGAAGGTGCTTCTGGGTATGTGATAACTTTTAAACAGTAATTTCAGGGACTGATTGCTAGTGGCAGAATTGCACAAATTTTCATTAAGTAGAAAACATTTTTTAGGAAAAACATGGAAATTGGGTGGAGTATGAATATACCACCAATAGTTTAAGTACTCTTAAATTAAACATAAACCTACTAAGTTATAGTCATTGTCTTAGGTGGTGGGGATACAAGAAGACAGAGTACTTGCCCTGGTGTAGCCATTATTCAGATGTGCATTTTATGGTAATAGTTATGAGTACTAGTAGGTAAAAGGGAAATAACAAAAACGGTAGTGTGATTAATATCTCTGCGTAACTGTGTGTATTGGAGAGTTAAAAAAAAAAGCTTTACAGAAGAAACACCTGAGCAAAGTTTGTAGGGCTGCAGAAGGGTGGGATAGGGGCTAGGGGCTGAGAGAGATAAAGTAGGGGTGGGGAAAGGCTGTGGTGCAGAGGGTACAGCACTAACTTAGGAGCACAGAAGCTATTATGGATACTTTAATTTGTAGAAAAAGTGATTGTTATTTGTTTTGATAAAACTATTTTTAAGACCGTTGAAAATAGTGTTTACTAATTTAATACATTTTATAATAATTTTCATTTTTAATGCATTTACAAGCTGTTGAATTTTGAGATTTTAACATCTACTATGTTTTGTCTGTTTTAGAATTGGGGTAGGAAATGAGAACCAAATAAATCATCTCATTATAGAGGAGAATTTTGGCTGGGTGGAACACTAATTTTTAGTTTCTTCTGTCAGCCATTTGTGGTTCTTCTATTTTTTTTCTTTACCTTTCTCATAAAACTTAAAAAAAAAAAGAACAACCCTGAATGAAAACTTAAATTGAAAAAGTTTTCCTGCCTTTCCACATATTATTAACAGTTTATCTTGTGTGGGTATACCTCTTCACAGACCAATTTATCTTATAGTAGAGGGAAAAATTTGAAATAGGTAAGGAGAGAGAGAGAGAGATTGAGATCTGAGATGGCTTTATACTGAGACCTCAGTACCATCCTGGAGGAGGGATATGCCTGACACAATTCCTCACTGAAATTTGGAATGGAGTCTCTGAGGAATTCTACAAAGACAGATAACATTCCAATGTACCACTTACTCATCAGTTCTTTAATGTCTGGTTTATTTTGTAACCATGTAACATATAGTGACAACACCATCATTAATTGTATTATAAACTCCAGATATTTGAATCAGTATGGTTGAAACTTTTTTCCTATAAGATATATTACTTTACCCTTTCTCTGCACTTGTAAAGGGAAATGCTTAGAGCTTTCGTAATAGATTAATAAACTCCCTTTCTCAAATTGACCTGGAATAAATGGATGTTATTGCCATTTTCAAGCTATTTCCTTTTCCTTGAGACTATATCACAAATACAGGAACGTGTCTGTCACCTTCTAAATCAGAAATCAACAAAGGAATCAAAATACAACATGGCATATCTGTATAAAAGGAGTACCATGCATCCATCAAAATGATGGCATGATGAAAGATTTTCATGATACATTATTAAGAGAAAAGCTTGGAATGTAAAATAAAGTATGGTTCGTATAGATATGCATTTGGAAGGTAAAATGAATATTTTAAATATGTATACATAGAAAATATCTGGAATACTATCTACCACGTGGTTAACAAGACACTAAATGTTAAGTAGTGGGATTACAGGTAATCTTTTGTTACTTGTTTTCCTTCTTTTTACTTATTTTTCTGCAGTGAACCTGTGATACATTTCTAATTAAAGATGTTATATTCCTGGGTAATTTCTTGATTATAATGTGATATTTCTTCAGATTCAAGTTGTAGAATGCATGCTTTCAATTGTTTTGTCTCTTGTGGTGACAGATGTGTATAACTGTGACTAGTAACTGTGGTATTTCTTCAGGTGCAAGTTGTAGAATGCATGCTTTCAATTGTTTTGTCTCTTGTGGTGACAGATATGTATAACTGTGACTAGTATACACACACACACACACACACACACACATATATATTTGAGATAGCCTAAGGGATTAGTTGGTGGTCAAGAAGCTAAACTGTTGTGTTGAACTCAGCAGCGTTCTAACCAACTGATTTAACTGATTAAGAAATTTTCTTAAACGTCGGCTATTCCAGTTATATTTTTATAACAATGACAACAGTAACAAGACTCAACAAACACAAAAACAAACACTCCAGCTCTTTTATTTTTCATCTTAATGAATTCCTGAAGATCTGAAGCAGTGAAAAGGGAGCACTGATAGTTTCTATATTTTAAATATATAGATGTATATAATTATTACTGTGTTGGTATAATTATTACTGTGTTGGTAACATGAATATCACTATTTCCTTTTTGTTAGGCTAAATCACTTTTAACTTTCCTAAACTTAAGAAACCTAAATTGCATGGGGTAATGGAGAGAGTGGAATGGAGGGAGAGGTCAGCTTATACTGACAGTAAAGCTCCTGAACTAAGGCAGCAGTGAGAAGGAGATGGTGCCAGTAGTCAGTCCCTTGCAATTTGTTGCCCTAGGGTGATGCGGAATGGAGATGTGGCAATAATAGCTGGGCCATCTACCATGTAAAGCTTTGAGGTTTATTGTAGGGTTGTTCTACTGGCTAGAGATCCCACATTAAATTAACAAATATGTATTGAATATTTATTTACCTTCCAATATTGTTTTCTTTGTAAATTTCAGATTAACCGAGCCCCAAGCTTTGGAACTGATCAGAAAATAGACTATGATGTAAAAAGGGGAGTGCTGCTAAATGCATTGAAGCTACTAAACATAAGGTAAGGTAAAATATTTTCTCTATCTTTTGGGCATTTATCTCCACGTTTGACATAGATTAATCATTTGTACATAAAATTGGCTTTTCAGAATAGTATTTTTTATTTTTATATTTTGTAATTTTCATTTCTTGATTCCATCCATTCTGTATTTTTCATTTCTTGATTCCACCCATTTTGTAATTTTTATTTCTTGGTTCCATCCATTTTGTATTTTTCATTTCTTGATTCCATCTATTCTTTAAACTCATATAGTTAAAAAAAACTTTCCTCCCTACTCCTGTATACTGCTTTTCCTGCTTCCCAGGCAACAGTTTGTGCCTGCAGTAAATGAGGTTAAATTTCAATGTAGGTATGATTATTTAATATAGTGTACAAGATTAAATTGTTAAATACTTTAAGAGACCATCTAGATTATATTCCTCATCTTATAAGAAGAAACTAAAGCACAAAGAGTTCATTCAGGAAATTAAAAAAGAAATCTCAAACATGGATTTCCTAACTTTCTCCCCAGAGGTCTTCCCATTAGATCATGCTCCCTATGTAAACAAAAAAGAGAGGCAGTTGTTGAGTGAGAGTTAACTTTTCCATTTAGAGAGGTAAGTAAAATTTGAGAGAAGACTTGGCTGGTGTGGATGTAGGGCTGGTTGCAGTGTACATGATCATGGGATTCAAATATTTGAAATGCTATTATGTGGGAAAAGCTTTTGCCTCATTACAAAATGAATTTTTTAGATGTTTGACTGAAACACTTCATGAAATAGTGAGTTACCTGTCATTAGAAGTGTTCCAACAGAGCTTAGAGTATTGGATTAAAGGGCCTCTGAGGTGATTTAAGCTCAGTAATTTTATGATTTTAATTTATTCTAATTGTCATTCAAGAATTCTAGCAGAGTTATGGTATGCTTCCAAGCAATTTTTAAATTTAAGATGTTTCCAAGCAATATGCCTATACATGTTTTTTTGCATGAAAGTTTACTACTATTATTTAAATAAGCCTTGTGTTTAGTTTTTTTGTTGTGCGTGCGTGTCTTTTGACTTTGCCATTTATGGTATCAATTCAGGACATTATCTATGGGTGTTTTTGGTGTTTTTAAAAGTGAGGTATGTATAGTTTAAGCAATCAGAAATTTCTAGACCTAAAACTAAGGGAAAGTAGAAATTCATTTCTTTATCTTTCTTAGTGTTGTTCCACAGATAATTTAGCACAGTTCTTAACATTTAGAGCATATGCTAATGAGGCTTATGTTTCAGAAGTGCCTTCTTCCTCCAGCTGGGTGGAGAGCTCCATGGGTGCATGTGTTAGACTTGAGTTTCACTGGGCATGTCACAGTAACTTAAGCAGGAACTAAGAACACTAGGAAAATTCTTGTCTATTTATTAAATAGAATTAATTTTCATATGGAGTGTTTTAATTTTGGATAGAACAAATTGTTCTGTGAATCCAGAAGTCCCCTATTTACATTAATTTTAATCAGACTATTGGGAATGGTCTTCCTTTCATTATGTTATCTTTCTGCTCAAGAACCTAAATAGAGTTCCATTTACCACTGTGTAGCCTAAGCTTCTAATATAACTTAACCTTAGCTGTTCTATCTTATTTCCTGTTTCTCTCCAACCCACACTGTTTTAGTTAGGCTGATTGCCTCATTATTTTTCCCACATAGCTTGTCCATTCTCACTGATTATTTATTCTATTCTGTAGTCTGAATGCCTTTCCTTATTGCCTGTGACTCAAATCCCATCTTTTATTATGAAGTCTTCCTTTTGGCCAAAATGAATCTTTCCTTTCTTGGAGCTCTAGAAGGAATTTTTGTCTGCATAGTATATGGCTTATCACTTTGTTTACTCTCTTATCCTCTGTGGGGTTTTATCTGGGCGCAGCTGGTTTTTCTTTTCAATTAGATTTAAGCTCCTTGAAGTTGAAGAGTACATACTTTTACTTGCTTCACAGTGCTTAGTACAGCGCTTTGCTTATGGTATGACCTTCAGGTTCATTTTGTGAACATATGCTTTTAGTCTCAAGGAAATTCAGAAGAATATAAATTGTTCGGGATATTCCATCACAACTGCTGTGAAAACAGAACCTCACATGGAGGGGATCAGAACTGATCCTTTTTTTAACTTGGATGACAGAATGCAATTTGAGTTCAGCTTCAAATAATTTTTTTAAACATTAGGCTTGGGGTCTTCAGAGACAAGAAAATACGAAAAGGGTTATATGTAGAACAAGTAAAAGTTCTTTTTTCTATAATAAAAGGAAAATCCAGTCATTCTGTGATGGTGTTACTGGGTTAATAAGAAGAATCTTTTTCCTCCATGAATATTCTATTACAATCATTAAAATGGAACCTAGAAAAGACATTCACAATCCCATGAGTCCTTGGGTCTGAAACACTTGTTAATACTCTGTTAACACTTGTTAAACACTCTGTCCCTTGTTTACAACTAATTCATGGGTTACAGGCTTGCAGCATTTAATGCTACCCTATCATTGAACATTTAGTCTCAGTGGCCTTCTCTGACACTAGTCTCTGAGTTTACCTAACTTTGAGCATTCCTTAGTCTTCTCTTACGATTTCTTTTACTTTCTGCTCCCTGCCTGTCATTTTCTCACAGTGTCTGTCCTTGCTTCAGCCCTCTTTTCTCCTGTGTCAGTCTTACTCCCTTTTGTGGCATCATTTTTGAGTCTGACATATATGTAGCAATATGGATCGGGGTGCCTCTTACTAGCTTTGACCCACTCTGGAGCTCTAGTCCAGCATTTACAGCTCTCTGCTGACCATGTACCCTGGATGCCCTGGTCCAATAGATACCCAATAAACATGTAGTGAGTGAGTGAGTGAGCAAGTAAATAAATGAATGAATGGATAGTGTTCTGATAACACTTAAATTCAATATTGCCAAAGTTGAATTATTTTCTCCTTTGATCATGTTCCTCTTGCTGGGTTTATTTATTTATTTTTTTTGTCTGCTAACAATATCAAATACCTCCAACAAACAAAAGTTAAAGCAAATCACTCATATGTATTTACTGGACTTTTTTTTTTTTTTTTTATTTGAGACAGTCTCTGTCACCTAGGCTGGAGTGCAGTGGCGTGCTCTCAGTTCACCGCAACCTCCGCCTCCCAGGTTCAAGCGATTCTCCTGTCTCAGCTTCCCGAGTAGCTGGGATTACAGGGGCCTGCCAGCACTCCCGGCTAATTTTTGTATTTTTAGTAGAGATGGAGTTTCACTATGTTGAACAGGCTGGTTTTGAACTCCTGACCTCAGGTGATTCACTTGCCTCAGCCTCCCAAAGTGCTGGGATTACAGGTGTAAGCCACTGTGCCTGGCCTACTAGACATTTTAAAATAGCCTATAACTTGCTAGAAGCTAGAGATACAAAAATGAATAAAATTTCCCCACCTTAAGTAGCTTAATTGTTAAAAGGGAAATATATATGCTCATAGATAAGTACAGTACAATAGTAATTATCCAGTTTGCTTTGCTAAAGTTAATGGCAAAACGATTCACATGAAAATGCAGGATAGAAAGCTGGGAGTTATACTTAACATTATTATGAATTGAATGAATCCTGTCAAATTTCTGACTATCACTTTATTTCTCCATCTCCTCTCCAAGGTTGAAAACTTCTTATCTTTCTCCTGGGCTATTTTATTGGCTTCCTTCCTGCTTCCAGCACTAACCTCCATCCCATTTTGCAGCTTCCTTTCTGTTGTTCTGCAAATCATTCAACAACCATTTATTCCAAGTCCACTACCACTGCAATAGGTACTGGGAATCCAGTGCCTCCTATGATTCCTAGGCTTCTGGCTTGGATGACTTGTCTGATGATGTGCCGTTCATTGAGATGAAGATTATAGGCGAGAAAGAGGCTTAGAAAAGTAACGAGGGAAGGCAGAAAGGAAAATAAAGATGATTCAGTTTTAAACATGCTAATTTTGGGATGCTTTGAGACAATGTTAAATGGAAAATTTGATATACAGGGCCCCAGGAGATAGAGATATCTATTGGATTGATATTCATGTATAGATTGCCCTTGAATCTAATGGATGAGATCACACAGTTGGACTGTATGTTTTGAGAAGGGCAGGGACAGAACCCTGAGAGATGCCAGGATCAGAAGAGAGATTTATAAGCTCTGATATTCTGATCAGATTGTTTCCACATTGTCAGATAAAGTTTATACTCCTTTGAATTATGTACAAGGCACTTTTTGATCTTTACATTATATGCAAAGCACTTTTTGAGCTGGCCCTTAGCATCTCTTTCCAACCTGATCATTTCTTGTTCCTTTGCTTTGCCTTGGAAATGGCTTTTCTAAGAACTCTTTTGTGGTACAGTTTCAAATTTCTGTACCTTTGCACTTGTTCTCATTTAATATTTGTTCACCTTTGTATTTTTGGTGAATGCCAACTGATATTTTTAAATTGTAGTAAAATACACTTAACATAAAATTTACCATTTTAACCCTTTTTAAGTGGCATAAGTGACATTAAGTACTTCACATTGTTGTGCAACTATCACCACCATCCATCTCCAGAACTCTTTTAATCCTGCAAAAGTGAAACTCTGTACCTATTAAACACTAACTCCCCATTCTTCTCTCTCCCCAGTCCCTGGAAACCATCACTATGTTTTGTGTCTCTGTGAATTTGAGTGTCCTACTCTTGGTATCTCATGTGGAATCATATGTACTTGTCCCTTTGTTACTGGCTTAAAGTAACTGGCATAATGTTTTCAAGTTCTTCGATGTATCATGTGTCAGAATTTCCTCCTTTTTAAGGCTGAATAACATTCTATTGTATGTGTATGAATACCGCAATTTCTGTCAGCACATTCATAAAACCTAGCTCAAGCCTGACATTCTATTTGAAGCCTTTGCTGAGGCAAAATGGTTTACTTACTCCTTTGTGCTATCATCATACTTCCCCCTACTTTTCAAAATAGTACTCATCATACTCTTGTGTTTTTGTTTATATGCCATTGCTCCCACTTCC